AAACCGGCACACGATAATCTATGATTAATGGTTGTACAAACTGAACATTTGTACCACTCCATCCTTCTTTTTTTGTGCAACGCGCACATGCATATGGTGTACTGATAATGGCAGTTATATATTGAGTTGTTTCTTAGACGGATCGTGTTATTGTTTATGATGAACGAGGTGACAATAAAGGTTATTCACTGTCACGGCACGTCATAAAAAGAACAGCTTTTTGGTACTAGTTCACACCCGTTGTTTCGAGAAAACTAGTTGAAGTATCAGTCATGCATGAAGTATATTTTTTATTTTATGGAGCATCGTTTTGATAGGCATAGAACAGCCTCACTCTATCCCTTAAAACCGTTCACACAATTTCCGCAGCATACTGGTCGCCACAGATTGGTTTACCAAAGCACAACTTGAAGAGACGATCGATGAAACGATCACTGATGAACAGGTAGGTAATGCTGATGCTTACCGATTATGCAAATTCCCACCGCAGTATGAACAGTGGCTTGTATTGATGAATCGCATAGCCTCTCACCCGCTGGCTTGTTCCGCCGAGGAATTCATATTTCGGTATCGGGCGGGACAATCACAAGTTACATCAGAAACAGAATATCCTGAGGTAATTGTTTGTCACCCTTAAACCGTTTGCTATCTGTACATCGTGATTGTTTAGCCTGAAGTGGATCCAATAACCCAGCAAAAATTCATCACCTCATATGGCCAAAAACGGATGTGTTTCGCCGAAGTTTGTGTTCGACTACCCGGATCTGGTCAAATAGATATTGATGGGAAAAATCTGCTCGAGGCATTTCCGGATTTGGGCAATCGCGAACAGATCATGTTTCCTTTTCTGGTCACGCGTGCGTTTCTCTTCAGCTTTTTGTATCCTATGTTCTCGTTCTATTTGAACTCATCAGTTATCTAACCAGCACACAAAAACTCCGCAGTTACATATACGTGATTGGTTTTTTTGATTGATTTGACTGACTATCCTTCGAATTTCACCTTCACGCACAATCCTCAATTCAACCACACACTCAGAAGCACTATACTCGAATTTCGCTCTAATTAGAGCTCATCAGTAGTGCATATCCACCGTCCTGTCCGGACCCATCGCATGAAAAGCGTGTTACCACTGTGCCAATCAGCTCATTCCCTGGCTGAACCAAATTGCCAATTCATGTTTGTTCAGGTGTTGTCTTCAATGACAGACAGTTAGTTCATTTGCCCCACAGCATTCGTAACTGGATTATCGTGTTTTTGTCTGATCTTTAGTTTCAGGATACCATGGCATTTCTGACCAGGCAAAGGGGGATTTGTGTGCAACCGAGTAAAGAAAGAGACTAAGAACAGGGATGTTTGTCTGTGGTTTAGTTCACCACAAACCGTAATATGATCTCATCGGTTTGTCTTTTCCGAATCACATCTCTCACCATCCCTAACACATGACATACCTCATCCTTTGCTCAATCGTTGACCTCCCTCGAAAAAATCTGCTTTTTATCCCGTCCAGGACACTCTAAACCATTGTTTCCCCTTCTTTTGGTGCACAGATACCTTAGGCAAAGTGGATGTGAAGGCCATATTGTCCGGAACAGGCACCAGTTCTCCCGCTAATGCCTTGCGTCTAGGCATATCACGTTGCCTGGCATCTCTGCTCCCAGATGAAAAAGGCCGTCAACGTTTACTTGTCTCAGGCTTGCTTACCCAGGACGATAGGTTTGCTGAGCGCAAAAAACCGGGGCAGAAGAAAGCTCGAAAGAAGCCTATCTGGTGAGTTTATTTTTCCTAGGCCTTTGGTGTTCACACGAGATCATTCAATGCCACCATTTACGTCAGCACAACTGAAATCCGAACGGATATCTGTATGTGTAGAAACTTCCAAAAAGACCTCGTTCTAACTGTCGTTACGTCATTGGCTATATATGCATAGATGATCGTCGAATACTCAACGGAAGAATGCACGATAGAAAGGATTTTTCAACATGGATGTACTCCGTTTTGGGAGAGATATCTACGTTCTAGGAAGTAATAAACAAAAAATGAATTAAGGGCGGTGATGTCAGGACTCTAATCCAACCGTGAAGCCATCATTTACACCGACGCATCTCTTATACACTCAAACAAATTTATCTTAATAGTCTGTTACAGTGTGGTATAAACTTGCGTTGAAAGTGACAACGAATTACAAAAATATTCGGAATAACCTTTAAGATCTGTTTTTGAAAGCAATCCGGTAGTCTGTTTCATCGTGCGACTGCATCCGCAGAAACATATCTTACATTTCTACGCATTAGCATCATCGTTTGTTGATGTACCACGTTCTCGCGTGTACCGGATGACTCACACTAATCTTTCAATTGGCGGTGCTTTCTCTTAGCTCAAAATCTCCACCCCGTCAGTGTTTTGTAAGACAGGTTAGTCCTATCCCAATGTCGTTGCGTACAGCGCAACTGACCATTGTGCACCACACCCCGAATGCGCAATCCATGCCATTCGCAGTGTCCGGGCAACTTCAGTCGTTCAAGCAGATGCACGGGTTCTCAGGGTTTGCGGTTCAAGCTTAGCCACAAATACCAAACTTCGGAATTGAGCTGCTTCGTTCTCGCTCACTTTATCCAATCATGATGCAGAGAAAATACTGCATTGGTCCTTTGTGTTTCACAAACAATGGTGCCGTGCGTCGGTTAGGCATTGATTAACTCCACCAACTCCAAGTGTATCATCAACTGGATACCGGGGATCGTCCTCCTTTTTTGGTACTCACAGGTTCATCCGAATTCATCAACCAATGAGCGGTAAATACCACCTCGGCTGTCTGTCGAACGTCTGCAGCCTGTTTTCCAGGCTCGTAGAGTAGTCCAAAACATTAACGTCATCCCTGACCACAGTCGTAATCAGAGTATCGAGCCGTTTTATTGAGGTGACCACTATCACTTGTAGACAGCTACCGTTAACCGCACTGGAGTGTTGTCAATCCCAAGGCACATTATGAAGTTTAAGTTCTTAATTACAACTAGTGATCGTCTGTAGTACCGGGTATCATTTGCTATTACTTTTCTACGATTGAGGAAACCACTTTAATTTAAACAGATAACCTACTAACGTTAGTTACAACAAGTGTTTATCTACTCTGAACTGTTCACGGAGGTTTGTCACCTAGATCAACTGTGCACTACCTATTAACCATATCTGTTCCTTTCGTCCAAGGAACTTGAACAGTTACCTTAGATACAAATACATATCAGCATGTGAAAACAATGGCCACTAACGCTTTTCTCTGTTTACTTTCTAGGAAGGCCCGGTGATCGATTCGTGTGGTCTGTGTACAGAAAAAGAATTGTCCTTAGTCATGAAATAGAATAAATCATTTCAAATAGAAAGTTGTTCTGTTACTTGACAGCCACTGGTTGTGCGTGTGGGACGGGAACTGGAGTGGGTGAGTGAATGAATGAATGATTCAGTTGGTCGAATGGGTCAATGCTTGTCGGTGTGTCCTTCACGCAGGCTATTCGTCGCTGTCAGTAAGGTCCGGCAGTTTTGACTGCTTTCGTTTCCAGTTCGAGCATCTGGAAAAGAGAAGCAAAGTTGAAAGCATATTCAATAACACGTTAGACCGTTGTAGAGCTGGTAAAACCAGAATAAAAATTGGTTATACGTTCTGTAAATCTTCAATTGCACTGGTCAACAGACTGTTTACGATCCGTTCGAGTACGCTGTCTTTTTGCAAGCCGAGATAAGTGCTTTGACTGTAACCTAAAGTGGCTCCCTCACAGATATGTACAGTACATGCTTCAGTAGCACATGACATAAAAGTGACTTTTTATCCATAGAAGCAGTCTCGGGGCAATCAGTATGAGTGATCAAGTGGTCGTTGTGTACTAAGCCACACTTATCTAATTGTATGACTAGCCGGTGTGGGATGTAGACGGGCGTTTGTAAGACGACTGCCCAATGAGTGCAGTGAGAGAAAGCAAATGGTGCTGGCGTCGAAACTTCATCGTGTTTTGCAATCAAACAGATAACGAGAAGCAAATTAAAAAGCAAACCATTTTGATCGGAAAACGGGACCATATTTAGGCAGGACACAACTGTATCGCATTCGCATAACGCGGTTTTGACAACTTCAAGAGAAATGAAACAAAACGTACCCTTTTTGCGTAACACGGGCTGTTGACAATTTCGTCCGAGACGCGCATCAAGTGTTGTTCCAAGGCCACACATTCCTCGATCTGTGGGAAAGAAATTACTTAGTCTTGAATTTCACTCTACACACCCGGATATCAAACACATTATAGTAGCGACTGCTTTTCAATGAACTCAAAATTATAGTGGAGAGGGGGGAGAGCAGCTATTAAAACTGAATAGCATGTTCCAAAGAACATGGACAATATCGGCTTCGTATGATGCGGTGGCAAACTACCGATTTCTGATCCCAGACTGTTTGCCAAACACCGTACACCACAAAAGTCTAAAGGGAAAAAAGAGCTCCGTGCTTTGTTCTGTACTGCCAGGCCAAGGCAGGTGAATTTTCCTGGAGAATGCACAACCAGAGTCTTCGGCTAGCCAATGCGTGATTCGTAAGGCAGTGGTTGGTGAAGTGTGTAAAAACCGCAATCCATTGAAGGCCGGTATCCAATTCATCGGATCATACACCCTCCAGCAGCAGGAAAACAGGTAGGATTTTTTTTGTTGCTTAACCGAGGTCAGGTGAGATGACAGTGTAAATGGATGAAACGGGAAAAAATCCTGTCCTGCATTTGCATCACTTTTATGAGAAGACCGGTGTGATTGACAGTGTCCGGGGGAGGCATACAGAGATACAGATACAAGAACACTAATAGAATAATCGAATTTTCATCACCACTACTACGGTACGGGCACATGGTGTTAACCCCACCATAAACCGTTGACTGCGATGATACAAATCAGCCAAATGGCGGATAATATTCTTGTTATTATATAGGATTACACTGCGAATTTGATCCATGACCATGCGTAACAAGATCTATGAAGAAATCGGTCGCGCACCACGTGCTCAAGGCGTGCGACATCCTAACGCACTTCAAACACACATCCACCAGTCACGATTGGGTGGCACGAAACATCGCGTGTATATCCTGTTGATCCACTCTCCCTGCTACCTGGCTGGTCGCCCTCAGAATGACAGATTGTCTGGTTCCTCCTA